TGCTGGCCCCAGGGGCCTTCCCAGGATCCTCAGCAGCTACAGGAAAGGCGGGGTGTATGGCCTGGAGGTGGGCGATGCCCTGGTTCATGCCAAGCGTCCCGGTCACACGACCACTCGGGAGACCACCGTTCAACCACACGGCGCGCTGAGGCCGCCTACGGCTCCTGCATCTGTTTCCTCACCCAAATGCGCCCCGTGGAGCCCTAACACATGGCAGGGGTCGTGTCTGAATTGTCTGCTGGGAAGATCAGAAGCTGAGAGCGCCCTGGCCGGCGTGGCCCAGTGGTTGAGCGTCAACCTAGGAACCAGGAGGTCACGGTTCGATTCCCGGTCAGGACACATGCCCAGGTTGCAGGCTCCATCCCCAGTGTGGGGCGTGCAGGAGGCAGCCGATCCATGATCCTCTCTCATCCTTGATGTCTCTGTCTCTCTCTCTCTCCTTCTCCCTTCCTCTCTGAAATCAATACAAATATATTTTAAAAGAAGAAGGAGCTGGGAGGCCGCTGTGACAGATACTCCATGAAAGCCCTCGCCCACGCGCTGCTAGAGCCGCCCTTCGGGTTGCCGTGGGTTTTTGCATGTCGAGGTGCCCAGCCCTTCGAGGCGGAAGGGCTGGTCCCCTGAGGTCACCGGGGCTGCCGGCACCACAGGGCGCCAGGGAGGCCATGGCCTGTCGGAGGCGCCCAGGGTCAGAGCTGGCGAAACCGCGGTTGTTGGAAAGCCTCAGTGATCTGAGCCAGAGCAAGGGCGGGAGGCACCTGCAGGGACACAGGGCGCGGCCACCCTCGCTCTCCTGTGTTTGGCACAACGTCCCAGTGAACAAATGGGAATCACAGACGTTGCAGGAACCACAGCAAACGCTCCGGGGTGGTGGTGGTGGGGGGTCGGTTTCTTCTAGAAAAGTTCCAGGGTGGCCAGCCAGGGCTGACCAATGTGTTCCACGGGGATCTTTTTAAAATGATTATTTAGCCCCGGCCGGTGTGGCTCAGCGGATCGAACGTCGGCCTGTGGACGGAATGGTCCCGGGTTCGATTCCCGGTTAGGGCACAGGCCCGGGTTGCAGGCTCCATCCCACAGTAGGGGGCGTGCAGGAGGCAGCTGATCCATGATTCTCTCTCATCGTGAATGTTTCTCTCTCTCTCTCTCCCCCTCTCCCTTCCTCTCTGAAATCAATAAAAATGTATTGAAAAAAACAACAACCCCACAAATGTATTATTTAAAAAAAAAAAAAGGGACACATGCCCAGGTTGTGGGCTCGATCCCCACTAGGGGGCGTGCAGGAGGCAGCCGATTCACGATTCTCTCTCATCGTGGATGTTTCTGTCTCTCTCCCTCTCCCCCTCCTCTCTGAAATCAGTAAAAATATACATTTTTAAAAAGGGAGCGAGGGAGGAAGGCTTTCTCCCTGGGGTAATGCCTGTACCTCCCCTGGCCCCCCAGAGTCCCCCCATCCTTGTTTTGGGGCCCCCCCGGCGCCCCCTGGGTCCTGGGGACCCGGCTTTTTCTTCAGGGATCTCTCCCCCACGAAAACACAAAAGAGCACATCTCCCTCGAGCCCCTGCCCTCACACAAGAGCAGCCGCGGGGAACCCACGAAGGGAGGGGGCTCCGGGCTGTGCCGCACCCACATTTTGTTTTCCTGTTGTTGTTGTTTTTTTAAATTTTCCGATGAATAATTCAGTGGCTGTGCCAAGGTTGAAATATTGTTCTGTTTTCAGTGAGATGTGAGAAGAGAAATGAATCCTAATGAAATGTTTCGGTTTCCTCTATCGGAGGCTCCCCGTGCGTGCGGTGCGATTCCCACGCCCCAAACAGGCGGCGGCTGCTTCATCCTCTTGCCTGCAAAAGGCGAGAGGCAGTCCCAGTCCGTGGAGTGGCTGCCTCACGCGGGCGCCTCCCGCCCCCCACTTCCCCCACCGATCGATCGATCGATCGGAAGAGCTACCTGTGAGCACCCAGCTGGTAGACACCGGAATCCACGCGAATTTCAGAAAACGAAAATTACGAGTGAGCCCGGCCGGCGTGGCTCCGTGGTTGAGCGTCCACCTAGGAACCAGGAGGTCACGGTTGGATTCCAGGTCAGGGCACAGGCCCCGGTTTGCAGGCTCCATCCCCTGTAGGGGGCGTGCAGGAGGCAGTTGATCCGTGATTCTCTTTCATCATGGATGTTTCTCTCTCTCTCTCTCTCTCTCTCTCTCTCCCTCTCCCTTCCTCTCTGAAATCAGTACAAACATATTGTTTTAAAAAGCAGCCCCAGCCCGAGGGGTTCCCCCCCTTGCCCTCCCCAGTCATTAGAGAGACTGACACCTTGGTCTCTATCAAGAAATCGCGTTCCCTAAGTGGCGATGCGGAGTCATTAGCTCAGCGTGCAATCAGCGCCTCGATCTTCTTCAAAGCACTTTGCGAGTCCAGGACACGCATTTTTAAAGACAGAGGACGTTGGAGAGGAGCCTCTTAAACCCGCTCAGAAGGCATTTACCGCTCCCCTGTGGGGAGGACGCCTACCTGGGACCTGGGATTCTCTCTCCTGAGGCCTCGCTTCTTTGAGCCAAACCAAGTCGTTTTGGGATCGGCCCCAAACGCACCCCTTTTCTCTCCGGGCAGCGGTGTCCTAACAAGGCGCTGCAGGTACATAAAGCCACTCCCCGCAGAACTCGGTCCTCCTTTAAAAGCCTCCACCCAACTTCATTTGTTTAGGTTTTTTTTAAAAATGTTTTTATTGATTTTTTTTTTAAAAAAATCTATTTATTGCCTCCTACTGTCATTTTAGTTGAGTTTTAAGGAAAGAAGTTAAACATGTACAGCCAATGTGTCATTTCAATGGCAACTTCTTTATTATTATTATTATTAATACTAGGGGCCCGATGCACGAAATTCGTGCAGGAGTAGGCCTTCCTTCCCCCAGCTGCCGGCACCGGCTTCCCTCGCTGCCCCGGGCTTCGTCCAGAAGGTCATCTGGAAGGACGCCTGGGAAGGATGTCCGGTCTAATTAGCATATTACACATTCATTATTATAGATACTTTTATTTGATTTCAAAGAGAAACATCCGTGATGAGAGAGAATCATGGATCGGCTGCCTCCTGCACGCCCCCTACTGGGGATCGAGCCCACATGTGCCCTGACCGGGAATCGAACCTCGACCTGCTGGTTCATGGGGTCGAGGCTCAACCACTGAGCCACACCGGCCATGCTCTCCTGCTTTTTAAAACGGACGCTTCTCATTGTTGGGGGCCAGGGGAACATGTCAGGTACATCACGCCCAATGCTGCCCCTCGAGCTCCCCACCTCAGCTGCCCCAGGGCACATTCCCTCGGGACGAATGAATCTTTGGAACTTAAGTCTGGAGCTTAATATTGGCCCCCAAACAGGAGAAATTGGTGCCTACACGGATTCCCCAGTATTTTCTGCAAACAGGGCTGCTCTCTCTCTCTCTCTCTCTCTCCCTCTCTCTCTGAAATCCAGAGCAATAAAAATAATTTTATAAAGTAAATTGTAGCAATACACAGAACAAGTTATGAGCAGGTGATTTTAATTCTGAGAATGTGTGTCTTTTCCATATTGTTTCTTTCTCTTTTTTTTTCCCCCCATCTCCAACCCGACTTGGATTCAGCCTCCAGCCCTATTTCGTCATGGCTCTGCTCTTTTCACCCCTCTCCCTATCTGAGACACACTTGGCCTTGGATTTCCACTTTGCTTCCCCTAGCGTGTGGGGTTACGAAACCACAACAACCTAGTTTTAAAATCCAACCAGGCGCGCTGAGGTTTGTATGCCCAATGTGTCCGCAGGTAGGTGGCATCATCTGTAACTGGATAGGAGTCTGTTTTAATCGGCGTGCGAGTCTGAATATTTATTCGGAGTTTTCTCAAGTTATGGCCACAGCAGTCACTCTCTTTTCATCCTGATATTTTCCTCTCAAGTTGGTAACTCTTTATTTTTATTTTTATTGATTTCAGAGAGAGGAAGCGGGGGGCGTGGAGAGAGAGAGAAACATCAGTGATGAGAGAGAATCATAGATCGGCTGCCTCCTGCACGCCCCCTACTGGGGATGGAGCCCACAACCCCGGGCATCTGCCCTGATGGGGGAATTGAACTGTGACCTCCTGGTTCATAGGTCAACGCTCAACCACTGAGCCACACCTGTCGGGCATTAGGTCAGTAACTCTTTTAACGTGTCCTTGGGTACTTGGATAGAAAGATTTTTTTAAAAATATATATTTTTATTGACTTCAGAGAGGAAGGGAGAGGTAGAGAGAGAAACATCAATGATGAGAGAGAATCGTGGATCGGCTGCCTCCTGCACGCCCCCTACTGGGGATCGAGCCTGCAACCCGGGCATGTGTCCTGACTGGGGAATCGAACCTTGACCTCCTGGTTCCTGGGTCGACGCTCAACCACTGAGCCACGCCGGCCGGGCTTGGCGGAACTGACCTAAAACTAAAATAATTGCTCACTTGGCTGCCTTTCCCGGTTACAGCATGACCGTCTCTCTTGGGTTAGTCACTTGGGTGTTAAGCACGTTTTCTCATCCAGCAAACATAACTGAGACCCTGTGGTGCCAGGCCCAGGGCTCCTTTGGGGAATTTGGTGGTGGTGGCAAAGTGTGGACAGATTTGATCTGAAACCGTGCCAGGAGGGGAAGCAGTGCCAAGGGCGAGGAAAGCCAGGAGGGCTTCCCAGAGGAGGTGGCAACTCAGGGCAGTCAGTTCCAGCAGAGCTTGAAAGCACTCTTGGTATCAATTAACCTCTTGTCTGTCTACAAATAACGGAGATGCAAAATGCGTGGCTGGCACCGGGAGAAGTGGGTTTCTTGCACGCGTATCCCAAGCCCGGAGGTGATACGGGAGCTCTGTAGGCGTCAGCAGCCTACGGCCCTTCCGTCTTGTGGCCCTGCCATGCTCGACCTCGTGGTCCAGGGTGGCTGCGGGAGCTCCAGCCATGACGGCTGCATTCCAGGCAGCAGGAAGGTGGGAGCAAGGGAAGCCAGGTCTTCTTCTTAAGGAGGCCTCTTGACATGCCATTCTTTCCCCATTGATCAAAACTGATCACTTTGGCCCTGGCTGGTTAGGCTCAGTGGATAGAGCGCCGGCCTGTGGACTGAAGGGTCCCGAGTTCGATTCCGATCGAGGGCACGTACGTTGGTTGCAGGCTCGATACCCGGCCCCGGTCCGGGTGTGCAGAGGACATCCAATTGATGTGTCTCTCTCACATCGATGTTTCTCTCTCTCTCTCTGTCTCTCCCCCTCTCTTCCCACTCTCTCTAAAAACCAATGGGAAAAAATATCCTCGGGTGAGGATTAGCAAAAAAATAAAATAAATAAAAAATAAAATAAATAAATAAATAAAAATCTATTACGTTGGGCTTGGCTACAGTGGCTCAGTGGTTGAGCGTCGACTTCTGAACCAGGAGGTCACGGTTCTATTGTCAGTCATGGTACATGTCTGGGTTGTGGGCTCGATCCCCAGTGTGGGGCGATCAATGATTCTCTCTCATCATTGATGTTTCTATCTCTTTCTCTCCCTCTCCCTCCCTCTTTGAAATCAATTAAAATATATATATATATATATATACATATATATATATATATATATATATATATGTTTAAATCGATCACTTTGTTCCACATAGCTGCAAGGGAGGCGAGGGAATGAGGCCCTTAACTCCATGGCAACATGCCTTGGTAGAGTTGGGGAAGATTGGGAGGCAACCAGCTGTTTCGGTCAGGGTAGTGATGGTGGGTGGAGTGACACCTCTGTGAGCAAAGGAGGGGAAGGGAAGCTTATCTCCTTTCAAGGAATAGATAAAGATAAGTAGGTCAGTTTGCCCTAGAGTTTGGTGTGCCAGGAGATAAGGCTGGAGAAACACACAGATGCTGGGTTGTGGGAGGTCTTGAACCCCGTGCCCTGTTGAGGAGCTGAATTTTAGCCGGAGGACCACGGGGAGCTACGGAAGGCGTTTCAGCCTTGACGTAGCGGAGAGGCGAGGGCAGGGACATCATCCGGAGGTGACCAGAGCCTTTCAGGAAAAACAGCGAGGACAGCCGGTGACTTCAGGGACGAGGAGCGGCGAGCAGATGGCAGAGATACTGGAGAGGTAGAACCGGTCGGATGTGGGTGGCGAGAGAGACGTGGCCCAAGGTGGCAGACACCCAGGCCCGTGGCGGGTCTGACGCCATTGGCAGAGATCACAGGGAGGCTGGCGGAGGCGGGGGGAGAAGGTGAGCTTGGTGTGGACATGTTGCCCCGAACCTTCTGTCTACACACACAGTTGGGGTGGATGCATTTTTGAAAATACATCTTTATGGATTGCAGAGAGGAAGAGAGAGAGAGAGACATCCATGATGAGAGAGAATCATGGATCGGCTGTCTCCTGCACGCCCCACACTGGGGATCGGGCCTACAACCCGGACATGTGCCCTGACCGGGAATCGAACCGTGACCTCTTGGTTCATAGGTCAACGCTCAACCACGGAGCCACACTGGCTTGGTGATCTCTATTTGTATTTTAGGGCGCAGGGGTCGCCCTCATCTGCCTGCACCCATGGACTCAGGCTGTTTTCGGGGGCGGGGGGCGGGCGGTTAACTTCCCTGATCTTTCTGTCACTTCCAAAGATAGGAAAAGTGATGCTGACCACACAAGCTTTAACAACCATGGCGTCAGCCCGGCCGGCGTGGCTCCGTGGTTGAGCGTCAACCTAGGAACCAGGAGGTCACGGTTCGATTCCCGGTCAGGGCACAGGCCCAGGGTGCAGGCTCCATCCCCAGCAGGGGGCGTGCAGGAGGCAGCCCATCCATGATTCTCTCTCATCATGGATGTTTCTATCTCTCTCTCCCTCTCCCTTCCTCTCTGGAAAAAAAAAAAAAAAAAAAGACAGGGAAGATCACTGCTTTCTGGGGCCGGCATTCTGGCGGGACAGGAAACAATCGGTCGAGAATTTCACGGTAGTGAGTGAAGTCAGTAACGCAGGCTGATGCGCTGACGAGTGACTGGGGTGAGGGGGGCGCCTTCTCAGAGGGGTCATCACCATCACAGAGGCCTTTCGGAGGAGGAGGAGGAGGTGGAATTGACAGGGAGCCTCGAAGGAAGAGAAGGGGCAGCTGAGGTCAGGAGGGGGACCCTGCCAGAGACAGGGCCCAAGAGAGGACACAGCTTGGCACGCTCCAGCCCCTGGAAGGGGGCCGGCTCGGGCGGCGGCGCGATGTGGGGAGAGAGCCGTGTTGTGCAATGGGGCCTGGCAGGCGGGATCCTGGGGGCCGCTCACCTGTAGCCCCGGCCAAGACTTGGGGACTCTATCCTAGGAGCCACGAAAAGGAAAAGAGAAGTCGCTGGAGGGCTCCAAGCAGGTGACAGATAGCAAGTGTGGTGCCCTCTGCCCTCACTCAGGCTGCTGCCTGGAGGCTGGAGGGGGGTGGGGGCGGGGCGAGAGAGGCCACAGGGAGCTAGGGCAGGAAGGAAATGGGTAACGCAGGGGAGGCATGTCCATGGTGGCTCTGCTTTGGACGGAGTTGGGGGGACATTTCCCCCATCTCGGAATTGGAGCTCCCCCCGGGGGTCCCACAGCGATCAGAGAGGCCCTCGGGGTCCCAGGAGGCGTGGTGAGCCGGCCAGTCTACTCCCATCCATCAGGGTAGCATCTCGGTGGCCCCGTCACGGGCACTGGGTGGTCCCTGCAAGGTGCCTGTTAGTTTCAGTGGAATTGTTTACTCTGTGGACCTCAGTGGAGAAGGGCCGGCTGCCCCGAGACCCCCAAGAGCCGGTCCTTCCCTTTACTTTTTTTAAAAAATATATTTTATTGATTTTTTACAGAGAGGAAGGGAGAGGGATAGAGAGTTAGAAACATCAATGAGAGAGAAACATCAATCAGCTGCCTCCTGCACATCTCCTACTGGGGATGTGCCCGCAACCAAGGTACATGCCCTTGACCAGAATCGAACCCGGGACCCTTCAGTCCGCAGGCTGATGCTCTATCCACTGAGCCAAACCGGTTAGGGCTATTTTTTTTATTTTTAATATGTTTTTATTGTTTCCAGAGAGGAAGGGAGAGAGGGAGTGAGAGAGAAACATCCATGATGAGAGAGAATCCTGGATCGGCTGCCTCCTGCACGCCCCACCACCGGGGATGGAGCCTGCAACCCGGGCATGTGCCCTGACCGGGAATCGGAACCGTGACCTCCTGGTTCCTAGGTCGACGCTCAACTATTAGAGCCACGTCGGCCGGGCCCAAATGTATTATTATTTCTATTATTTGTCGACAAGACTGGCAGGCCGGGGAGAACAAGAGAAGGGAGAGGAAGAAGGGAAGCAGGCTGAGAGCCGGGCACGACTGAGGACCATTTTGGCACAGTTAGGGTTGGGTAAGGCCCCCACCCATCCACCCATCCACCCCAGGCCAACAGCCCAGGCCGGGTCTCAGGGCAGGGCACGCCCATAAGCCCGCACGAGGCACGCACAGCTCGCTCTGCCTGCAAAGGGACGAAGGATGTCCATGCCAGTGCGCACAAGGCTTTCTGAGCTTCGAGTCCTGGCGGATGGCGACCCACCCTGGCAGGGTGGGGACCAAATGGGAGGCATCAGAGGAGCCCGCATCCCCTGTTGGGGTGCTCGCTGCAGCCGGGAGGCCAGGCGGGGATGCCGCTGTGAGTGAGGGCGTGGGTATCACCCTGGAGTCCTGGGAATCCAGCTGGTCCCGGGCTCTGCCCCTCGAGCGAAATGATTCCCGCGCGTCCCTGCTCTCGATGACGTGACGTGGCGGCGTCCCTCCCCGGCCCCATCGACAACACTAATAAAAATAGACGACGTATTTTTAAAAGCCTCCAGCAGATTGTCATGGCGATAAATAATTGTATCGCGGCGCTGCCATGGCAACGGAGTCTGTGTCACCGAGACCAATCAAGTCTATGTAAAACTTGTCTAAATTTAGGTGTTTGAAAAGAGTTAAAATAGCCTATAGGCACGCAGAGGTACACGGAACGTGTTTTGAAATCTTCGCTGGGGAAAATAGTTTTAGTCGTTTGAAAAGTCTGAATTGTTTATTGTTATAGTTCTCCACTCCAGATTATAAATCTCAGCTTCCCTTTTTGTCATATATATGTTAATATTATGTGTTATAGTGTATATATTCTTAAAGGCTTTAATGAGCAGTAGAAGACTATAGCGCTCTCTCTCTCTCTCTCTCTCTCTGTCTGTCTCATTCTTTCACTCTCTTCTTCCAAAGTAATGTAGTCCTAGCCAGTTTGGCTCAGTGGGTAGAGCATCAGCCTGTGGACCGAAGGGTCCCGGGTTCGATTCCAGTGGGGGCGCGTCCAGGAGGCAACCCATCGATGCGTCTCTCTCACCTCCATCTTTCTTGCTGTCTTCCCCTCTCTCTTCCCCTCTCTCTAAAAATCAATGGGAAAATATCCTCGGGTGAGGATTTTAAAAAAAAAATGAGAGAAAGAAAGTACTTTACAAGGCCGAACACCACCATTCTTGTTCCTTTTCCCACTTGCCGCTAATGACACTGTATTAATGGAATAACAAGTTGCATTAGCGAAAGCACGCCACGCCGGATGAATAGCTCGTTCCCATACTCTTGGCATCGTTCCCCCCGAAGCGTTTATGACGGCATCTCAGCGAGTGTGTGGCTGGGAACTCCAGACCCCCCAGACTCGCTGTGGTCCTCCTCCTCCGAGGCAGTCACGGTTCCCTCCTGACTTCAACTCCGTTCTACTGAAATGACAAAGATGTGGCATTACCCCAGCGGGGACAAAGCTTTTTTTTTTTCACAGACGGGTGAGTATTGTGCCATGAAAGGGACGCCTCCAAGTCCAAAGTGATGACATGAAAACATGCAGCAGCTGACAAAACCAGACCCCTGTCACCTTTTTTCTCCTTCTTTCCTTTGGTTTTGATGAAATAAAAAATGTCTTTTTAGAAAATTTTTAAATTGATTTCAGAGAG